AACCGTACATTTTATTCTAATTTCCAAACACTTGCAGTTGAATACAAATCTTACCTAGGAAATTAATCATCCTGTAGAAAAACAAATTAGAAAAATTAATGACACATAAGCAAATGTCAAAATTAAAGACTCCAATGAAGTATATGAACAAGTGGGTGATCTAGCCTCTGATTAGCTAGACTGAAACATTTTAATACTAGATTTATGTTTACTGAATGCAAACCTGCATGTTTTAAATAGTTCTGCAAACCAACAAAGTAAGAAATTACTAAATGGTACAAGCAAAAAGGAAGACTGAAATAGATAATTCAAATTTCAAGGCTTCAGTTGGTCAATTCAAAACTATTATTAAAACCAAACAGGTAGTTTTCAAACTAGCCAAGTAAAAGGTCAGTTTTCCTGTTTTTCATCTCTGTGTGATATTACCATTTTCCTTTCACAACACTGCCACAACCTCCAAACAACCAAACAACCACTTCCAGCATTACAAACCCAAGACAAAGATTTAATGTGGGGAGAAAGCAGAACAACAGTTCCAAGCAATACTGACCTCATTATCTTTTAAGTTTTAAAATACACAACCACTAAAAAAACCTCGTAAGATCAGCTGTTTGTCCTAAAAATGAAGAAACAAGACCCCCTAAAATCCCACAAGGAACTGGACTGAACCCAGAACCCCAGATGCAGGGTCCCAGCTGTTTAATATTACCAAGCTCAGGAAAAACCCTCCCATGGTGGATTCAGAGTTTTGCTGCTACAGCTCTCAGTAGGACTCTAGAGACCATTGGCTTGATCCAGCAGAGTTTCTCATGAGCATTCAGTTTTACACACGACCAATCTTGGACATCTCTGAATTACTTAAATAGGTTTAAGAAGAAAATAAAGATTACTCCAAGGCACTGACCTAGTGAAGTCTCATTTCCTTGTAGGTGTGACTTGTGGTTGGCCTTGCTACAACAAAACAGACTATAATCAAGGCTTCTTGATCATAGACAGACAGAGTTATCACCTTGTTCTTTTCCAGATGGGTTTTGCTAAGGCCTGAAAAAGCCAAGATCACTCTGCAGGCTTTTGATACAATGCATCTCTTTTGTAAAGTTAAAAAACCCCCCAAATTTAGAAACAAATGCACAAGGATAGTCACCTCACCCATCTTTAGACGCCTGCGAAAAAGGCCACAGCCTGCTCTCACCATCACCAAAGGGGAGGCTGTATTATACAGCAGTACACACTTCATCTGTATCAGATGCCATTTGAAGAAGTGATGAATCACCCCAGAACTTCCAATTTCTGACTGTACAGAGAGTTCATACTGGAACTGCACAAATCAAACCCATCCTGAGTTGAAAATGCCCAGTAAGAATACAAAAATTACTGCAGAATGAACTGGAAGGAAAGGAGGAAAAGAAGCCACGGGACTGTTAAAGTTTTAACTCACTACGGAATCAGGCAGATACCATATCCAATCCTATGTCATAGCTACACAGATTTAGATTGCTAGCTATTTGCAGGCTACCAGCCCTCCAGGCAGAGGGAGTTCAGCACCTGGCCTGACAGTTGGTCTGATGGACAGAGGGAGCTCCTCTATATGGGGCTGCCTCACCTTGCAGCAGCTCTGTTATCACACATCCTGACTCCAAGCACTGCTGCACACCAAAGTATTTTGAAATTCTTTTGAAAACAGCTCCATGAGCTTCTCTCTGCTGCCAACAGCCTCACTGAGTAAACACAGCTTTCACACAGTGAAGCAAGGAAGGCTGTGCAACAAACATTGCAAAAACATAGAAGCCTTTCTACAAACTTGAAATTTAGGTATGTTGAAGCCCTGGCTAGAGCTATACTTTGCTTTGTGAAGAGTTAGGTTGTGACATACTCCAGTACCAGGAAGATTTATCCTCTGGGAGTGGTCACACCTCCACAGGGCGTCTGCAGCAAGTACAGCCAGAGGGAAACCAATGGGCTCTGGCAGTTACATGTGCTGTTCTGAAGTCTTTCTTGTTTGCTTGTTGTGAATGGACAACCATGTAACGAAGCCACGACATGTCCCAAGGGAATTAGAAGCAAAATGAGAGCAAGTCTGCTTTCTCAATACTGTTCTTTGCAACAGACAGAACTGCTTGCATCAGAGATGACCTGCAGGGTTGTGAACAGAGCAGAGGTTTTAAGGAGGAATTAACTTAATGGAGGATGGGGAGGAAGGAGACAAGTACAGACCAACCGCCTATTAACTAACAATTTGAGGTTAAAATTAGTCATCATGAAAAAGCCAGCTGTTGTCAGAATTCCACTCACAGTGCACACAGAACTTCTCAAAATGCAGAGATTTAGAAACAGGACAAGCAGAAGCAGTCAGTTGAGAAACTGAGTCTTTCCCTCTCTGCAATTTCTCCTGTGACTTGCCAACTGCTCTCATTTATAAATAACTTCAATGCAGTAGGCATTGAAGTTATTACTGATACTCACATGGGTGGAAATCTACTAATGAGCAAGGCAAGCAAGAAACTGTTCAACTTTTGCAGTCCAATCACAAGGGTGGAAATCCGTATTGCTTCCCACCATAATATGAACATACTACATGCAATAGACCTTCATATGAAAACCCCAGAATTAGCTCTATGTCCATCCTTCAGTGTTGTGAAGATCAAAATGTGGTCTAAAAAAAACAAACTCAGTTTTGTTGTTTTACATTTCATTTCTATCACTGACTTTATCTATGCAGCTCCTCCCAGCGTATCCCCCTATCTTTCTCATTACATTTTTGTTTGTTTCCAACAGTAAAAGGATAAATGAGTGCCTGTGATTTGACCTTTCTTCCATGACTTTTCCAGCATAATCCTGAGTACTTGAGAACCTACACTGCCATGCTGCATAGAGACACAACCCACCAGTACAAAACCAAGGAGGTTTCATGTTCGTACTAAGGAAGTGATAGAAAGTTCTGGTGTTTAACTAATGCAGGATAAAGAGGGATATGCTATTAAACCAACTGCTTTCTCCCATTACTGAAAATCAGTTTAAGAAATTAAGCAGGGAACCCAAGCTCTGCCCTGAAATAAAGACAGGACTTGGGCTTTTCTGGTCTGTTGGCTAAATAATTCCTGCAAAAACTTTAGTTCCAGCAATGTTCAAGAGTGCCTTTAAGTAAGGTTTCAGCTTGCATAAGTTAACAGTCATTCAACTAAAAGCAGTAATATGGATGGATCAAGAGAATTTCTGCAAAGATAACAAGTGAAAAAGGGGAATAAGAAAAAAACTTTAGCATAATGTATAAAATAATTTTAAATAATTCAACTCCATGCTGTTACTTACCCTGCAGACCTAGCCTGGACTGATACGCTTTGAAATGAAAATTTAAATCCACACAGCTATTGCCGTAATTACCCATACAAATTTCTAACATTTAAGGGCTTATTTCTTCAAGACTGGAAGGTCAAGGACATGGCATAGGGGAACAGCAATCCTAGCAGCGAGTGCCCTCTCTAAAACTCAGCTGGACAAGCTCCACTCTCTTTTCTCTGTCAGAAACTTTGGTAGCATACTAAGTGACTTACTACACCCTTGATATCTTGACTAATCTGAAAATAATAATCATGGAGGACAGTAACTGTGGAAGAGTAGTAACAGAGAGGTTGCTCTGCAATGGCAGGGGCTCCTTACAGTTTACACACAAACACAGGGGCCACACAATATTTATGTTCTGTGCGAAAACATATGGGGAAAAAAAAAATATGGCTTGATCCTCTGAGGCAAACATCTCCATGCCCAATATCTTCATATGCAAAAGTTAGGTAGTCAATACCATAGAACAGGCCTTACAGGAATAGGGTTATTTCATCAGTGTTCATGCATACCTTATTACATACACACCTCACCAAGGGCCTTATTCAGTTCCCAGTGAGGACACTGCATCTCCTTCAGACTCTGGAGTGCACCATTAGTTGCTCTCAAACACAGTGCTATGAATGTACTCAGTTACTCACTCCTTGGCGCCATGCAAATGTTGGTGTGAGTTACAAGTAAATTAGTCCTGCTCCACAAAAACTCGTTAACAAGGCAGATTCAACCAGCACCACAGAAAACAAAATCAAAGCAAGCAAAGCAGCACAAACAGGTTTTTAAAAAAGCAGAATGGCTGTGTGAGATCGTGAAATGATTATCAGTAATAGTAGCAGCCCAGTCAAACAGTATTTTGGGTTGATTTGGTTTCACTCTTTTACATACCAGTTGAAGGTATCTGATCATCAGAGTTCTCATTCACCTAATTAGCTGGTGGACATGCTGAAAAGAGTAGAAAGCAGTAGATAGGTAGCAGTACTTGAGCAACATTTATAAAGGAACTGAAAGAAATGAAGGAGAAGATTACTGATCTTTTTCCCCCCAAGTCAGAAACTGACTAGGGTCTTCCTTTCCCCCACTCAAAAAAGGAAATGCAATTTCACTATCCAGAGAGGCAGTTATTATTAGGATCTCTCAAACAGCGCAATGGCTGTAAAATTACAAGGGGAAGGAGAGATTCCTGTTTGTACATAAGGTCTGATACTGTGTGACATGCATTGCAAATATATACTACCTGCTTCAAAAGCACATAAACTCTGTTAGCCCAGAGTTTAAAACTTGGAAACACCATTATTGCTTAATACATAGAAATCACTAAAATTTACAAGTAGATTAACTCTTACTAATAGAAAGCATAGCCTCCAATTCATCTGCGTTTGATTTAGATTTTCCCAAAATGGATTCACAAACTCAAGTGTGTTGCTGACTTACAGCCAACAGTTAACACAAGATTTCCAACGTAAAGCTTTTCTTTACAAGCCAGCCAAGTTTAAAAACCATGGACTAAGACTCTATAATGCCTATAAGTTTAAACTACACATAGCATACCCAGTAGGATTTTCTAAAGCATACAAAGTTGTCTTAACTCTGCTCCAATCAAATCACTTGAAGAAATACCTTCAACCTCAAACTAAACACAGCATACTTCATATATGATTCTTTACCTTTAATAACGAAGGCTTCAGTTACCAAACGCAGCATGTACAGGGGTTCACCTTTTGTTGAGAGGTCATCAATTCCTGCTCTTGCATACATGCTGATGGCATCTCTGTAGGATCCTTCCACATAATGAAGCTTTCCTAGGATCAGCATAGCCTCTGTCATATACTTAGGCTGAAATGGAGAGAAGAAAAGTGTGTTTACATGGTAAAACTCCAGACAGCAAGAATGAGGTACTTAAGAAAAAATTAAGCAGATTCATAATGCTTTCCTTTTGACATTGCTAGCTCCACAGGCCAAAGTAGGAAGGATTTAAGTGTCTAGAGATCTTAGGGCTATGCTTATGAGAGCAGCAGGCAACAAAAGTCAAGCAACTGCTTTAGAGCTGTTTGGAAATACACAGCTTGCAAGCCACCTCTTTGGTTTCAGCTGACCTGCTCTATTGATTCATCAGTCACAGATAGCACATAAAAGCCTGGCATTGTCAGAACTACTTACACACACACACCAAGAAAATCCCCAAGTTTTAAACTAGGCAGAAAGCTTCACACTTCAGTAAGTGCTTCCCTCTCCTCTGCATATTTAATTAAAAAGCAAGAAAGCTCCCAAAAATCTCTTAAAGTTATCAAAGAATTTTCAGTCAACAGGAGAAAAACAGAAGGCATGCCTGCTGTACCCAAGATTTGAATGGTACCTTAAGGATTGAAAATGTGTACAAATCTGTGTAACAAAAAAAAAACCCAGACCCTCAGTAAAATACATCCATTCAAACCCTTTTTATTATTTGGAAAGCATGAAAATGTTTCTAAACCTTCACAGTAATTGTTTTAATACACGCTGCATGAGCAGCCAAGCCACCACTAACAAAGAAGTAGTAATGGCAGTTCATGCAGCCAGACTTAACACCAAGACCTGTAAGAATTCAACTGTTTTGGCAATTACTGGAGCTAAAGTATAAAGAAAGAGGGTTGGATGAAGTCCGCTTCTTTCCTTCCTCATTTTTACTTTTAAAATATGCTGACTTTCAAGAAGTTAATTTCACTTGCTCCCTGGAAATCAACATGATAAAAGTGGAACATACATATTCAAGATAACTAGCCTGTAAGTTTCAGTACAAAAAGTAAGAAAATTAATCATCTTTTTAAAGCCAGTTATGCAACTGTGTGTCCAAGGACACTGACACAGCAGCAGCCATTGAGGTAGCCTTAAAGCACTCATACAGCTCTGAGCTGAGTTGATAGGCAGCTACCAACAATGCACACAAACCACATAATAAAATAAAGGAATAATTTTGCATAACTTCTCTGACAGAAACTGAAAGCAATGCAAGGCTGTAATTCTGGACTCACACCACAACCTTAAGTGCCTGACAGCAGCTTGCAGCATATTTTTCCTCTGACCTGGAACTTACAAGGTGTACACCTCAAACCAGGAACAGCAGTAGGTCATTCAGTCATGCCAGCCTGACAGCACTGTTATGTGGCCATGCCTCACAACCCCACAGAATTCATAAATATTTATCCTGCTTCTTTTTAATAAAAACAAAGAAAACAATCACAGAACCACAGAACGAGTTGAGTTGGAAGGGACCTTAGAGATCGTCTAGGCCCTGTCTGCAGGGCCCTGTCCAGCTTGCCCTTGAACACTTCCAGGGAGGGGCCATCCACAGCTGCCCTGGGCAACCTGGGCCAGTGTCTCACCACCCTCACACTGAAGAATTTCTTCCTAACACAAATCTTCCAGCTTGAAACTGTTACCCCTCGTCTTATCACTACCCTCTCTGTTGAAAAGCCCCTCCCCAGCTTTCCTGTAGCCCCTTCAGGTACTGGAAGGCTGCTATAAGGTGTCTCCCCAGAGCCTTCTCTTTCCAGACTTAACAATCCCAACTGTCTCAGCCTGTCTTTGTAGGAGAGGTGCTCCAGCCCTTGGATCATCTTCGTGGCCCTTCTCTGGACTCATACCCCAACAGCTCCATGTCCTCTCTGTGTTGGGGGCTCCAGAGCTGGACACAGTACTCCACGTGGGGTCTCACAACAGTGGAGCTGAAGGGGAGAATCACCTCCCTTGATCTGCTGGCCACACTTCTGTTGATGCAGCCCAGGACACGGTTGGCTTTCTGGCTGCAAGCACATGGAAGATGTATACTTGTAGAAAAGAATTGGCTTGCATATGAAAAAACAAGTCTCCCAACAGAAGACACTGCAAATGGATATTTAATTACCAGTCCATTAGTAATACCTACAATACAGCACTGCTCATACAGGAACATGAACAAGCAATACCAACACTCTGTATCACACTAATAACCATATGAAACCAGCATCCGTTCAGCAGAAATGATAATGACAGAGCCCACTTACACGTAGTTTTCCTCTGCTTAAGATACTGGTCAGGTGCTGTTTAGCTTCACTCAGTTTAGGATCATTCTTCTCTGTCAGTGGAATGGAGTCCTTCAGTTTGGCAAAGTTCTCTTTCAGACATTTTTCCAGCAGAGCCTCTGCAAGCAGCATACTCCCGTAGTCCTCTGAAAGCACACACCAACCAAGAAGAAACACCGCTTAGTGCCATCCTGTTGATAAACAGCATCAAAACACCAAATCATCACACCTTTGAGACACGCAAACTGTAACTGACATGAGGGGGTAAGGAAGAATTAGCACACAGAAAAATATTTTGTTAACTTCTAACTATTGGAAACAGCACGTTTCCAATGAAAAAATGAACTAACACTTCCTTGAAAATTTTACCTAAAAAAATCCTTTGACAGCACAATTCATTCTTGTATGGTCACTAATGTGAAAGTTAAGAGTTCACATCATAAAACTCACTTTCAAAAGCATAAGACCAATCATTGAAAACATTTAAGTGCACATTTTAGATTTACTAATGTAGAAGCATGAAAAGTGTGCTTTGGACTACAAATAAGCTATGACTTTTCACTGCAGAGCAGTAACTACATCAGACACTTGAGAGTTTCCAGAAAGTTCCCAGAAAAAAAAAAATAAAAAAATTGAGAACCTGAACACATTCTACGCATCCATTACTAAAGACAGACAAGGCTTGATCCAGAGACATAACATGCCATATAAAATTATTTCTACATTAAATGCTATTCTTGTTCGCAGTTCCACAGAAGAGAAGCTCAAACATAGGTTGTAGCACTGGATACAGCATGAAGCATCGTGAGATGTTGCAATCATGAGCTGAAAAAAAAAAGTTTCATCTGCCAGTGTACTTGCAGTTCTTGCACAACGGGTCTTGTGCTTCATTTGTTCACAAAAGTAGTACCTCAATCAGCTGACTAGCCAGTCAAGCTGGGTAAGAAAATCTTTGCACGTCAAAGAGCCGAGCCCTGCATTTCATATATGTTTCACATTTCAAAGTCTGAAACTCTAGAACACAGGAGACACGATAGCATAACTACTTTTATATTTTCAATCCATGGGACAACTTACGCCCACTCACTACCTATACGTTACATGCAGCATCGATAAACAACCTGTGGGGTTTTTGTTCGGTTTGGATTTTTTTGTTGTGTGTCTTAAGTGTTCAGCTGCATATGATACTATAACCATGCCTGTTCCTGATCAGTTACAGGTCTACAACTAACTGGCATGAACAAAGTATATGTACATAAAATAGGAAGCGTAAACGTTCAAGTATATCTCCCCCAAACCAATCAATTCTACTCAACACTGAAGAGCTTTCAGGCAGCTGCTAATTTCTTCATCAAACTTAAGAAATTACATAAGAGCATATACAATTCAGAAATAAATACACAATCCCTCAAAGTAAATACGACTATTTAAAAATTCCCACGCAGCCACACTGTTGTTTCTAGGAACACAAAACTGTTACCTAGTCCCTTGCTGGAAGAGAAGTTCTGAAGGAATAACAACACTTCACTCTCCTAACTAGCAAGTTACCATGACATAGCAGCAAATACTGGGTTTAGAGTAATCACCCTGTTGTTACGCCTCTTAATTACAAGGGAATAAACTAATATGAACTCTTCAACTATTAGTGCTTCCAAACGGCATGATGATCTCTGCACCGGAGGAGCACTGTTGAAACCTGACTAAAGTTCAAAGGTTGTCCTTGTGGTTCTCAACACAGGGTTGGTTCGATGTGTGTGACGTAGCCACTTGGAAAGCCTCAGAAGCCAAGATGTCTTAGGCCATCAACATCTCCCCCCACCATGCTTTCCCACCGTGAAGTTTATCACACTCTGGAAGCTTCAGTTAACTCTGGGGCCACATCCTAGAAACACTCCTCTAAATAAGCAGGTTCATTCATGGAGATAACTGCTCTGACTTCTACAGCAGAACCTCTGGTGCCAGCGCGGTAGCAAGGATCAGGTCCTCTCCACAACTCACTGCTGTTGACTATAGACACAGAATTTTGTATTTCTAACTCAGGCTGCCTCACTTCTTACAACTGATTTATTCAGAAAGAAGCAAAGTCGTGTGTTGTAACAGAAAAAAAAACAACCCCGAACAACACAAGAATACCTTTGCTATTTACGAAACCTCTCTTACATGTGAAGGGATATCTGGATGAGCCCAAGCCCTTGGATGAAGCAGTCCCCTTCAGCAGCCCGTGGAGATAACCTGGGGGCACCCAGAGCGCGGGGAGGGGGCAGGACACATCAGTAACACACGCACGAAGACGTTAAAGAGAGACATTTCAAAACACGGAAGATTCCGGCCGGTAGCTTGGCCGCAGACCAG